CACGGTGAACAAATTCTCACAGCATCCAAACACACCATCCTGAAGCTCACGCACATCTCTGCACCTTCGCATCTGCTTTCCCCTTGCAGGGTACGCCTTTCTTCTTTTGCCTGCTTAGCAAACTTCTATTTAGTCTTCAAGACTCAATTCAAAAGGGTCAGCTCTTCCTGGAGCTCTGCTCTTCTCCTGACCCAGACGGTTGCTCCCTTTCCTGCGGCCCCCATACATTCAACTATTATGGCATCTGTCCATCCACCCGCCCATTCATCCATCCAACCATCCATCTATACATCCATTATCCATCCATCCTGCCATCCATCATCCATCTACCCCTCCATTCATCCACCCATCTTTCCATCCACCCACCCATCCATCGATTATCCATCCATCTGTCCTTTTAGATTTATTGAGCAACTACCATGTGCATCTCTGATCACATGGTTTTGAATGAGTCTGGCTTTCCATAGACCAATGATTCTTAATCTTTTGGGGGTCAAGGTCAATGTCTCCCAGAAAAACATGTATATGCACACACATGCTGGATGTTGCTTTCTTCTTCAAAGATTCTTGGTCATCCCTGAAGCTAGACTGTGGACCCTGGTTGTGGTAGACACTGTGATGTGGTGTTGAGATCTCCAGTTGGGAGTCAAGGACTTATCTCCTCAGTTGCTGGGAGTTCGGCTAACAGACAGCCCTTAGCAGTCAGCCTTCTTTGGGGGTTGTCTTGAAGACACTGCCTTATCCAAAGTCACATCTCCTTCCAGGGGCAGGCTCACTCCCAATGACAGGTCAATGCTGTGGTGTAAGGCCATGAGCCTCTCACTCGAACTCGGGACAACTCTGAAAGGCATCTTAGCTTTAGAGCTCCCTGTGGGGTTGGCTGAGGCTTTTGGCAGGACTGCCGTGAAGCTTAACTTCTCCTCTGCCCTAACCTGCCACCTTCTCCTTTCCACAGGTAATTTTTCCAAGACCACTTTCTAATAAATGTCCTGTACTCTAATCTCCATCTCTGAATCTACTTCCCAGGGAATCCACTGGATTAAAAAGCCCTGCAGAAGCCAGGCATGGTGGCACAAGCCTGCAGTCCCAGCAACCGAGGAGGCTAAGGTGGGAGGATCACTTGAGCCCAGGAGGTCAAGGTCGCAGTGAGCTGATTGTACCACTACACTCCAGCCTGGAAGACACAGGAAGACCCCATCTCTAATAAATAAAATAAAAAGCCCTACAGAAGTTCCTTGAGGACAGAGACTGTGTTTTAATGACTTCTGTACCTCCAGCCACGATCACTGGGCAGGGCACATTGTAGATGGTCCAGAAACACTGACGGAATGCATTTGAATGCATTTTCCTCTGGTTCTGTGTTCTGTCCTTCTGTTGTTCCCCAGCAGGAGTTCTCATCCGACATCCAGAAGAAGATGGCCCCACCAGCAGGATGGTGGTGGGACTGGGGGCTGCTGACTTGTTTCTGGGAAATATGTTAGTTGCCAACGAAACTAAATAACCATGGGAACAGACGTCAAGCTAATTGGTTACTACGAAGCAGGGGTGAACGGACCTGGCTGATGTCAGGGCTGTGCAGTTAGGGTGACTCCATGGGATGGCTGGGAGACTGGAGACTGGCAGGAATGGGTGGCAGTGGGAGGGAGCAGCCCCTTCTTACAGGGCAAGTCATTTGGAAGTTAGAACCTGTAAAATCCCCCACTTTAGTTTCCACTAGTGGAAATTCCTACAAAACACAAGCATCTGGGCCAGGCGCGATGGCTCAACCTGTAATCCCAGCACTTTGGGAGGCTGAGGCAGGTGAATTACCTGAGGTCAGGAGTTCAAGACCAGCCTGGCCAACATGTACTAAAATACGAAAATACTAAATACTAAAAATACAAAAAATGCTGTGGTGTAAAGCCGTGAACCTCGCACCCCAACTTGGGACAACTCTGAAAGGCATCTCAGCTTTAGAGCTCCCTGTACTAAAAATACAAAAAATTAGCCAGGCATTGTGGTGGGTGCCTGTAATACCAGCTACTTGGGAAGCTGAGGCAGGAGAATTGCCTGAACCCGGGAGGTGGAGGTTGCAGCGAGCCAAGATGGCGCCATTGGACTCCAGCCTGGGCAATAAGAGCAAAACTCTATCTCAAAAAAAAAAAAAAAAAAAAAAAAAAAAAGCATCTGTTAAGTCCATGCTCACTACCAGACATTGCAGCAGAGATGGGTATCTCAGAAGGCCAGAGCTCCAACACTGGCTCCTCCTTTCATCTGGGCGAGTTATGTGACATTCTTCCCGCTCCATTTCCTGAGTGGTGATGACTATGAGCCCAGCACTGTGTGCTTTACCTACATTATTTTATTTCACCTTCACAGTAGCTTCCTTCAGGTATATATATTATTATTCCTTCTGTAGAGACAAGGAAACAGGCTCAGAGAAGATCAGCAACGTGTCCAAAAGCACACAGCTAATCACAGCACAGAGAGACGTGTCTCTCAGTCTACGGCATCTGGAGGCTGTATCTTTAGCCACCATTATGCTTACCCACTTGGAGCTTAGTTGCCACAGCTAGGAAAGAAATACAATCAGTCCTTACTGCACCGGGCTGTTACAGATTAAATAACCTATGGCAAAGGCCTAGATGGTGCCCAGTGAACAGTCTGTTCTGTTCTTTCTTCCCCATTCCCCAGCCCACTGCCTCATCACTTCCCTGGGCTGGGAGGAAGGCTGACTCCAAAAACGAATGTCTCTGTCCCCAAGTCCAGCAGTGTCTGCCATGTGGCCAGCACTCACTGAATGCTGTCGACCTAAATGGATGGCCTGGGAGTCCCCACCCTCAGTCCATCACTAGTGTGTGATGCAGGAAGCTGCAGCAAGTACCATGAGAATTCTCTTGGTGCCATATTAACTACTCTTAAGCCACTGGGATTTTCAGGTTTTTCACAGCAGGATAGAGCAGAAACAGATGGAGACAATCCCTTGAGCCCTTAAGGCAGAAAAGGGTACTGGAGTGAAGATGAAGGTATGCCGGGGCCTGCCTGATGGCTCAGGTCCCTCCCACGGGCAAACTGCAGCCTGTTCTCACTGCCACCACAGCACCAACTGTGGACGTCCTCACATATTGGGGGCATTAACCTTCCTTCCACTGTGGGCTCCTGGGAGAGGCGGTGGGCATGTAAGCACTTAAAACTCGAATCTGCAGGTCAGCCCTCCTCTCTCCGCCCCCTTCTGCAGAAGCCTCGGAGCTGGGGGGCTGTGTGGGGACAGACACCACAGCCTTGGAGAGACAAGTCACATCCTCAGATTCCCTCAACCTGTGCAAGCACCGCGTTGCCATGGTGATGCTGCAGCCCTGAGATGCAATGACTGCAGACAGCATGGGTGGTTCTAGGGCTCAGTACCGAGGTGGACGCTGTCTGGCCTGTGAGGCCAGGTGATTGGGTGGGCCGGGTGCAAAGGAGAAGGAGCCCTCCTTTAGGTTTGGCTGGTAATTGCTGCTAAATGAAGGGCTGTCATTGAACCCAACATGTGCGAGGTAAGGGCCCCAGCTCTGCACCTTGTAATTACTGCACCAGACAGCAGCGCTTTCTCCATGTGCTGGGAGGCGGACAGTGGGGGAGCAGACAGGAAGCTCTCATCCACCTGAGCCAGCAGCGCTCTGGCAGGCTCCCCCCACTGCCCAAGCGGCCTGCATCCCAAGCAGCCTCTCAGACGGAGGAGGCCCTGGCCCCCCTCCTTGGCTGGCTCTCCCCACGTCATCCAGCTGGAGCACGAGCCTCCTTTAATCTTGGCCTCTGAGCTTGTGGAATCCAAGGGGGGCAGAGGTGCAGGAGCCAGATAACGGGCCGCTTCCGAGCGCCCTTGGTGCTCCACCTCCGCCTGCTGAGTCTGTGCTGGGAATCTGAATTAGAGGCAGATCTCGGTCTGACTCCTCCAGAGCACGGAAGCTCTGAGGGCCTCGGGCTAGTCACCGCCCCCTCCTGGCTTTAGCCTCCTGCTGCAGAAGTGGAAGTTGGACTCAAGAATTCTTGAGGGTTCTCCGGCTGGCAAACTTCAGCCGGCAAGCTGGATCCTACTTTTGTAAATGAGGTTTCACTGGGACAGCCACACCCTGGGTGTGTGTCATCTATGGCTGCTTTTGTGCTACAATAGCAGAGCAGCTCCAACAGATGCCATATGCTATGCTCCCCAAACCCCAAACACTTACTAACTGGCCCTTTACAGGAAGTTTGCAGACCCATTTTTAAAGTATTAAAGTTCTCCTGCGCTTAACCAAGCAAGCTTTAGTGACTCCAACCTGTGGAAACAATTTTAGAACAAGTTCCATCCTTGTCCCCACCCATGGACACCCACTGTTCTCTTCCAAGCACCCCTTTTCTGCCTGTGTCTGGAGAGCTGTGACAGGGCGGCTGGGCTCTGGGAGTCAGTGTGGTGCAATGGCGCCACCTGCTGTGAGTGCCTAGGAGCACTTCGCCTGGAAACCTGTCTCCAATGGCTGGTGGGGTCTCCCAAGGCCCGGGAACCAGCTTACAGCAGACTCAGTCCACAGCACATCAGAGTCGGGGTCTTGCCCCCTCCCTTCCTCATTTGAGACAGGCCTGTAGTCTAGAGAAGAGGTGGGACTTGGCCAAGAAGGAGTGGAAGGCCCAGGCCCCGGGGCCCATAAACCCTTCCAGGAGGCAGTGTGGATGTCACGTGCGGCACGTGCATGCACAGAGGTACACAGGCCTGGATGTGAATCCCAGCCCAGCCACTTAGGCAGCTCTTTATCTTTTCCAGGCTTTGGTCTCTTAATTGTTAAAAGGATTAAAAGAAACGCTTATATAGCATTTAATCTGTTACTAATAATGACTCAATCTTCAAAAGGACTCTCAGATAGGTATTAATTATTATCCCCACTTCACAGATTGAAAAACTACGGCACAGACACGTTAGGTCATATGCTTAGGGTCACACAGCTAGTGGCAGCCAGGATTCAAACTAGGCTGTGAAAACATGTAAAGTCTCCAGAATGCAGTGCTCAGTAAATATTCATTTATTTCCCGCCAGCAGGTGCAGTGGGGGCCCATGCGGAGGGCACTGGTGTTCCAACACAAGCAAGAAACGAAGGAGGCCTGGCCTAAGACCAGTCATTTGAAGAAGGCCCCAGGCAGGGAAAGGAAAGGAGAGGCCAGGCCCACACTGTCCCCTCCCTGCCCCATCTCCAGCAACACGAGGTGGCCAGTGGACCGTGAACCATTTATTTCCAAACTATAAAGAAACCTGCTCTCTGAGAAAAGATGCCACCCAGGTGATGAGGCTCCAGCCCCTCAAGATCCAAAACCCAGTCCAAACCCAGTCCCCTTAGAAAGCTGAGGTGCCTTGGAGATGAGTCTTGGCTGTCAGAGCCTGGGAAGTGGTTGGGAAGAACCAGCCCACTCCCCTCTCCTGCAGTGACTCCAACTCCAGTGCAGCTTGGGCCCAGCTCTGGCCAGGTCCCAGGCTGGCCTGGTGCTCGCCCCTTGTGTGACCAAGCTCTGAAGGGAGGGACAAGAGTCAGGAGTCCCTGGCTTGGCCCCACCACCTTTGACTCTCATCCACAGCTCCCAGCTACCATGAAGAGCCCCGGGGGCTTGAGCACAGTGAGTGCTGGCAGCAGGCTGGAGAGCGGCCTGCTTCTAAGCCATCTGCCCTGGCCGGTCACTGCTGCCCCTGGGCCACAAAGTACTCCTCCTCCTCATTGTCACCTTCCTCCCGCTGGCTGCTCCGGAGCAGCAGCTCCAGGTCGGGGCTGGAGCCCAGCCCCTTCAAGGCCTTGGGGCCACCATCACCTTGGGATAGAGAGAGATCACAGTTACAGGCCCAGTCGTTGTTTTCTTGGTTTGCTCTGATTTGCATGTGTGCTGAGTCACCCAGGCCCCACCCACCCACTCTGGAGATGACCCCGTATCTTCCTAGAGAAGAGACGGCAGCAGAGCCACCGCGCACACTTCCTGCATCAGAATCACTAAGAGTCAGAGAGAAGAACAGAAATCAGAGGCTTCTGGAAGGGGCTCCGGGTTACCTCTGGAATGCAAGGCTTTGAGGGCAACATGGAGGGATATTCCCGAGAGGCAGAGGGCAAAGCCTAGCCAGTTCAGGAGGCTGATCTGATCGCCCAGCAGATGAGCTGCCAACAGCAAAGTGCAGACTTCCTGGGGGCAGAGAAGCAGGAGGGAGCGTGATCAACAGGAGGATTTGGCCACTTGGCCAGGAGGGTGGAAGGTGGGGGTACTGGGTACACTCAAGTGGGTAGATCAAGATCTGTCTGAAATCCTGGGCCCAGGCAGGCAGAGAGGTCAGGGGACCCTGCCGGCTTGCGGCACTGTTCCACCAGCCTCCCTCTGTGAGATGCAACAAAGGAGGTGCTTGTCACGGAATTCTGTCAGGAATAAAAGAGGCAAACCGGATCCCACGCTGGGGACCAGGGTGTCCAGATCGTGCTGTATCCACAAGGATAAAGGACGGCTGCCCCAGAAGACAGTTACAGAAGGGAGCCCTGAGCCTCTGCGTGAGAATGCTGCATTACCCTGGGCTGAAGACACACACTGGTCCTGGGGCTCTCTATAAACAGAGACTGCAAAAGGGACTGGCGAGGCCGTTCATCCAAGAACCACAGCCATGCCTCAGCATGCGGCTGGCTCCCAGAAGACACTCAGAGAAGCCTGCATTTCTGGGTTTAGGCAACACTGTTTCGGTATTGGTGTGTGCCTGGCCAAAGAGAAAAGTAAATGTGTGGGAGGGAGAGGCAGAAGTGAGAAGAGGTGTGAGAGGGAAGGACAGGCCTGTGAGGCGGAGGTACAGCGAGGTTGGCCACAGGGGTGCTTGCTGAGGGTCTCACTAGCCCTGGTTGTGGCCCTGGAGGACACCGCCAGTCAATCATGGAACTCTTTCCTGATGAGTCTGGATAGGAGCTGTTCAACCTGTGGCTCCAGGCCACTGCCCAATGCCAGAGTTGGCAGTCAAGGTAAAATGTGAATGCGCCCCAGGCCTAGGGGAGTCAGAGCTGGCTCTCCATCTGTGTCCCTGTCTGTGGGGTGCAGGTGATCACACCCTCTCAAAGGGCTGTGGTCAAGGCGGAAGAAGGGGCCAGCACAGCAGTCAGCAAAGTGCCTGGCACCTAATGGGGCACTTCCGTCTCTTCTCTGCAGGGCCCTGAGGTGCAGGAGCTGCTAGTGAGAAATCCCTGGGGGCTCCCCCTCTAAGACAGGAATGGCATCACCCCCGAGTCTGTACCTTAAAAATGCCAGCAATGGAGAGAGTGAGGCTGGAGGTTCTGGAGACCAGGAGGAACTCAGAGAAGCCCAAACCAAAGGCGAGAATCCCGCCAAGGAAGAGGCTCCCAAGTACCCGCAGGAGCAGCCCTGTGTCCTGGAAACGGAAGATTTTCTCAGATGTGGACAAATGGAGACCTGAAATCAACGGGGAGAGAGAGTGGGAGGCTGGGCCCTGGGCTGCCTCGGCCAGCCCAATGCCAACCACATGAGATCTTTCATTGTCATAGTGAGTCCTTACTGAGACTTGCTAACTGTCTGCAGCCCAGAGAAAAAGCATGGGAGGTATAAAGTGATCCCACACAGATGGCCTGAGACCTGGAGAAACCAAGGAAGCAGTGATGGCTGCCAGAGAGCCGGGGGGCAACACAAGCCAGATCCTGGCAGGATGATGGGATCCTAGCGGGAAGATGGGGATCCTAGCGGGATGACGGGATCCTAGCGGGATGCAGCGGGATCCCTAGCGGGATGCATGGTGGGGATCCCAGCTGGATGATGGGATCCTAGCAGGGATGGTGGTTCCCAGCCCGGGATGGGTGGGGATCCCAGCGGGATGGTGGGGATCAGCGGGATGGAGTGAGGATCTCGCATGGCAGGATGGGGATCTGGCGGGATGATGAGATCCTGGCGGGGATGATGGAGATCCTAAGCGGATGATGGGATCCTAGCGGAGATGATGGAGATCTAGCGGGATGATGGGATCCTAAGCGGGGATGATGGAGATCTAGCGGGATGATGGGATCAAGCGGGATGATGGGGATCCTAACAGAGAGATGATGGGAGAATGATCTGACCTCTGGGAGGAGTAAAAATAGAGGGTAGCACTGCATGAAAAGCGGACGGAAGTGCCTGGGATCCTAGCGGGATGATGGAGATCCTAGCGGGATGATGGGATCCAAGCGGGATGATGGGGATCCTAACAGAATGATGGGGAGGGCTCGTCTGAGCCTCTGGGGTAAAGTAGAGGGGGGTAGCACTGCATGAAAAGACGGACGGAAGTGCCCTCAGCCTTTGGACGGTATTCACTTACTGGTCTGGGGGAAGGGGCGCAAGGCTGCTGACTTCAGGGGGTCTTTGGAGCTGTGGTAACCAATGGGCTAAAGAAGGGAGGGCAGCCACCAAGTGAGGAAGGACCAACAGTGCCCCGGCCCACTCAGGGAGCTCCTTGGTCTACAATTCAGCCAGGTTACCTACCAACAGGGACAAAATTCTATCCCTACAAACGTTCATTTTAATCTAGGTCTTGCTAGTACAAAGCTGAGGAACCTGGGCTGAGATGTGTCCCCTTTCTGGACCTCAGTTTCTCTACGGATAAAATGAGAGGACTGGGACCAGACTGGTATTTCTCCAACCTGCGGTACCACTTGATGAACATTTCCCAAAAAGAAAATGCAAACACATATAGCCATGGCCCCTTGCTCCAGAAACACAGGCATGCACACCCCCTACCCCAAATTTGGCTTAGACTTTCGGAGTCGTCATGGTCCTTCCAACACTGTCCATCTGGGAGAATGACTCCCGGTGTCCCTCCCACAGGAAAGTCCTTGTGGTGTATTAGCACAGGGTGAAGGGGGGCCCAGAACTGGGCACAGGAGACACCTGTGGTAGCTAGAAGTTGGTCGAGTATTTTGAGATTTTTGGAGGGAAGCACCAAAGAAATGCTGAGTGACAGTCCCCCCGAGGCAAAACAGCCTCACATTGTAGGACATCTTGTTTGGTGCTGGGCTCAGCAGTACTGCAAAGGCGTCGGCAAATTGAAGGGAATTCGGGGAAAAGCAACATAAGTAATGAAGGCGCTTGGGGGATTAATTTACCAGAAAAGATTAAAGGAGCTAAATCCATGCAGCTTTGCTAAGTGACGACTACCAGGGGCTTTCAGATGAGGTTTTGCAGAGATGGGGCATGGTGTAAACACCCGGGAGGGGAGACTGTGGCGTTTGATACGAGGGGGCATAATGAAGGAATGGGGAGAGATTTTAAAGACGGAAAAAAATGAGGCCCTGAATAGAAGTTTCCTGGACAACGGGGCTTCAAAATGATTTTCTTAGGGAGGTTCAAGATGCTTCACCGCTTGAAACTTAAATGGATGTGGGACAGAATTTTCTGTAATGACCCTGAAGGTATTACAGAGGGGACTCTGGGAGGAAGGATAAACAGAAAGGGGACAAAGGCTAATCCCAAAACATCAAAGGAAGGAAGGTGGCACCACACTTCCCAGCCTACACAACTCTCCAGGGCTCTCCTCTTTCTTGAACAACAGTGGAGGAACAACTGACCATGTCCCCAGGCTCCTGTGTGCTGGCTCCTGGCCTTCAGCCCCCAGCTCTGGAAGCCCACCCTCTGCCGATCCCGCACGGTCCACACTCCCTGAACACACATCCCAACGTTACATGCCTGGACATGGCTGAACCTCCTATTCCCACTTCCCAGATGCCTTGCTCCCTGCAGCCTGCCAAAATCCCACTCACCCTCCAAAACCATGGCCAGGAAAGCCTCTCTGACTTGCTTGATTACTCCAGCATCTTGGAACAATCCCTGATTCCCCACTCCTTAGAGGCAGGATAGGGTGGTTAAGAGGAGGGCTGGAACACTTGGAGCCAGGCTGCTGGCTTCAAATTCTGGCTCATTTATGGGCTATGGGACCTTGGGCAAGTTATCTTTACTTCTCTGTGCCTCACTTTGTTCTACCTGCAAAATGGGGAATGATAGTACTGCCACCACAGGGTTTTTGGAAGGATGAAGTAAGTTCGCATGTTTAAAAAGATCAGAAAAGCCCTGGTGCACTTTCAGGGCTCTGTACACACTTACTGTTGTTACTGTTCCCTGGATTTTATATGTGCTTTCTCTGTAGCATTTATCATCCTGGACTCCAGCCATTTTGTTTACGTCTGGCTGTCCCCCAAACCATGCGCTTCCGGGGAGGGACTGCATCTTTGATCTCAATAATCTCTGCAGCTCCCACTGTGTTGGGCTCAGGGCAGGGATCTGTGGTCTGCTGCACTGAGGTGCCCTCGAGAGGGAAGGCCCAACGTACCTTCAAATACAGCAAAGAGAGGGAAGAGCCCCAGGAACATGAGTGGCTGCAGGTGGAACATGGTGTCGATGGGATTCTGGAGGCCTGCAGGGCGGGGGACGGTTACCATCAGGTCTGGCCTGGCCCTGCCCTGCCTCCGCCCTGCCTGTGCCGCGGTTCCTCTCTCTGGAGGGTGAGTGGCATGTGCTCACCAAGTTCAGCCTTCTGCAGGAGCATCTGGGTGAGGGTCCAGCGAATGCCACCGATGAATGAGGCCCCCAGCACCAAGGCAAAGCCCTCCACGTTGAACTGTGTGGACTTGTAGGTGAACATGAAGAGACCCCCGGCGATGAGGAGGACCACCAGGACCAGTGCCGCGCGCTGGTAGGATGGGGAGCAGTGGCAGCTAACTCGGGGGTCTTGAGGGTCAAGGGTTCGTCACATTTGGAGCCTGGGGTCAGCAGCCATCTTGGCTGCCTCTGGGGCAAGAAATCCTCCCACCCTCCAGCTCTACCCCAGGGGGTCCTGGACAGTCCTTGCCCACTAATGTCAGCATGCAGGGCTGACGGTCAGCTGGTATGCCAACAGCCCTGCCTGCTCTGCCACACTGACGGCTGTCCTAGGCCCCCAAGAGGTCCCACCTCCCCCTCTGGGCCTAACACACACGGCTATTGCCTCCCACAGCAAGGAGCTTCCTAGGCCAGGCTCTGCTGGGACCCGCATCCTGCAGTGCTTTCACCTTTGGTCATTACCCTGCCACACTGGTTTCTAAATACTCTGAATATTGCCCATGTCTAGGTCCCTTCTCAGAAAGGGATCTACTGCCACCTGGACTGGGCTTATCTCCTCTGTCACACAGCGGGACAAGTCACTGCTCGGACTCCTGCTTTATTCTTAGCATCTGTGGGGGCAGGAGGGACAAAAGAGACACTGGGCCCTCACCAGCTCCTCCAGCTTGAAGATCAGAGAGAAGATCAAGATGAAGAGGACAGCTGAGGATTTGGTCATTGTGTACCTGGAAGCAAAATTACCCACAATGCACTGATGGAGCCCAGGGCTCAGACTCATCACCGAGAAAGGAGCAGGAGCACAAATCACTGAGCAAAAAGACCAAACAGAGCTGGGCTAAGTCATCTGAGCTGATAAGCGACCTTTAACCAGAAGGAATCTCTGACTAAGGGACCTCTGGTTATCACCAGGGAAAAGAGGTTGCAGGTCTGATGTTGAGCTCCCTGAGTCCTGTTCTTTACCTGACCCTCAGCGGAGCAGGAGCGGGAAGGAAGGATGAGAAGTGGGAGGATGAGAAGTGGGAGGATGAGAAGTGGGAGGATGAGGAGTGGGAGGATGAGGAGTGGGAGGATGAGAAGTGGGAGGACGAGGAGTGGGAGAACGAGGAGTGGGAGGACGAGGAGTGGGAGGAGGAGAAGTGGGAGGAGGAGGAGAAGTGGGAGGATGAGGAGGCAGGAACTGTGCTCTCTGAAGCGAAACATCAGAGGGAAGAAGAAACTCTTGTGCAGCCCCCAAGCCACACAGGGCTCTGCTGCGACTGCGTGTACCACCCGCCAGTGGCTGCCTGTCTGTGGCCTTGCAACCTGCCCTCCCCTACTCTGATGATGGGGTTCTGGGTGAGCTCCCTGGCTTCCCCATGCTGCCTGGCAGGTGGGCACAGCATCCCCTCCGCGCTGGGCTTACAGAAGAGGCTGGTGAATTTCCGGAGAGCTGCTGGGTGCCAGAGAGAGGCTGAGAGAGCAAGGGCTGGTCCCAGAGAGTAATGGAGTGGCTGGCCTGGCAGCCGGGTGTGCAGACAGCCCGCTGGACAGACAGAGAGCTTGAGCCTGAAGGGAGGCAGCAGGGCATGGCCGGTACTCACAGAGAGACGGTGACATAGAGGAAGCTCCAGTTGGACAAGCCCACGTCAAGCGCCGTGGCCAGAGCTGTGGAGACAAAGGCACCCACAGGACGGTGTGGGAGGTCCACACTCTGCTGGGGTGGGCTGGCACCCTGAGGCACCTGAGTGTCCCCCACTTCTGAACCATCCCAGGGCCTCCTCTGGGGCCCTCAGGCCTTTTTTTCCACCAGCAACTAAAGGGCTAATACCCAGCCCCAAAGAAGTGGGGGGCTGCTCTAGCACTAGGGCTGGGCCCATTCCAACTGACTGGGCCAGTGTGGTTTGTACAAACACTCCAGCGGGCCCCTGAGCAGAGGTATTAACCCGATCTGGTTGATCCCTTACTGGAAACCCTTTTTTCCTCAGGATGGAACACCAACTCCTCCAAGGGGAACCTGGCCTCCAGGATGTGAGCCCCACCCACTCTCTCAGTTCTCATTTCTCCCACTTCCTCTGACCAGCACCGGGTTCTCAGCATCCTGAAACACTTTGAGTTCCCTTCCAGACTCCACAGCTGGCACTAAATCTCCCTCTGGCCACAAGGGCCCCTCCTCCCAGGGCCAATCAGTCCCATGCATCCTTCAGCCCTCGGCCTACTCAGCACCTGGCCTAGGAAATCTTCCTCTACCAACCATGGGCCCCGGCCTTGGGTCGGTCCCCCTCCCTGGGCTCCGTTGTGCCCTCCGTGTCCGTGTCACAGCCCTGTGAGGGCAGAGACCCTAACTGCTCACCACTCATCTCCAGGCCCGAGGCCACACTCCAGGCTCAGTGTCTGCTGCCAGGTGAGGGAGCTGCGGGGCCGTGGGCGCAGCAGGGGTTTTGTGGGTGTGTGGTGGGGCCGTGGGAAGGCACACAGTGTGCAAGAGGCAGCAGCGTGGGTGGAGGGAGGCCAGGTCAAGAGGGCAGAGGAGGAACAGTGCAGGAGAGGGGACGGACTCGGCTTCCAGACACACGGGTGTCTCTCTTGTTCTCATCCTATGGTTCCCCAGCCCCTCTTCCTGCCCTGCCCTCACCGAGGTACCCCACCTACCTGTGGGAGCCACTCTTCTGAGGTAGTCGGCCCAGCTCAGCACCACACGGGCCCTGTGGCTGGAGCACTGAACCAGCGCCCTGGACAGGGCGGAGAAGAGGAAGATCACGGCCAGGTGCAGCATCGTCATGAAGAGGGGGAAATGGAAGCTCTGTACGGAGCCCAAAGCAGACACCCCGGCTCGGTTTAGACAGCCTGCCCCCCAACAGCTCCCTCTTCCTCTTCGCCCCTCTGCTGGAGTGGGGTTCATTTGGTGGTTCATGAGGACCTTGCTATGTGTGAAGGGCCCTTAGGTACAGTATCATCGCTTGGAATGACAGACTCCTAGGTCACAAAGACGAGGGACAGCCAAGGGGCTCAATTCTAGCCTGGTGCTGTCTCCACCAGTCCAACACACCTGTGAGCTACCTGCCCAGCCCTCCTCACAGCCCATTCTCAGGTGAGAGCCACTGCGGCCCACTACATTGTATCACTTATTAAAATATTGAAATACTTCTCTACTGGGGTAAACAGTTCCTGCTTGAGCCCGTTTCCCCAGCTCATCCCTTCACACCTCCCACTCTCCTTGGTTTCCCTGGATCCAAACATTGAAGGGGAACCCCGGCATGGCGGGCTTGGAGGGCCCTGTTCCAGCCCAGCTGTAACTGGCTTCCAGTTAGACTGGCTGAAGCTTGTGCCTTCCTGTTAAACGTGAAGGGCACTATAGCCACGGCTCCAGCCACCTTCATCCCAGCGCCCTGCCCCAGCAAGGCCTCCCGGTACCTTTGTCAGCCATTTGTTGTAGAAGGTGATGCCGATGGAGAAGCAGTAGTAGAGAAGCACCAGCCCCAGCGTCAATACCGCCTTCCACACAAAGGCCACATCGAGGGCCCACCTCCCCATTCGTGGAGGCTGCAGCACCCGAGCTCCTGAGTCAGTGGGGGCAGGCACCTCTCTTGAAGACAATGTGTGGGAAGAGCCGGTGCAGCTGGACCACAGCTTTCACCAAGAACGTCTCCTGGCTGGAGGAGCTCTCTGCAGCTCCATGATTTGGAACCATCAGCGGAGCCCCAGGCAGAGTCCTCACCTAAGGGGCTGGTGGCTGGTGCTGACCCTTCCCATGGTTAACTGGATGCAACGCTCACAGGTCCCGAGGTCTGCTGCTGGGGAAAAAGGGCAGCTTTGGAGCCTTAGGCAGAGACTGCGCTTCTCGTAGCCATGGGTGCCTCTGAAGGCTGCGTGACTCAGGGCTCCGGAGGGGCTGCCCACAATGGCACAAGGCACTCCCAGAGACCCATGTCATGTCTGCTCTCTTGTCACCTCAAGTCAATCTCCATGAACTGCCACCAAAGTGACCTTTTAAAACACAAATCTGATCATGTCGGGCCACTGCTTAAAACCCTTCAGCAGTTTCCAGTGCTTTTCTCATAAAGACCGGGACCCTTCTTTGGGCTCCCATGGCCTGATTTGGCCATGCTGGTCTTCCCAGTCTCAGCCACAGGCTCTCCAGGACCTGGCCCCACTGGGTGCCTTTCAGCTTCTCAAACACACCAGCTTTCTTCCCGTTGTCCAAAGGAACTGAATGAACACTGCACCCACCCTTCAGTCCTTCATCCATCCTACCTATCTTCAGCTCAGAGGTCACTTCTTCAGGGACACCCCCCCAACCCCTTCATCAGTCCCCTGAGATACAGGTGGCTTTCACGGCTCTCCTCCTCCTCCTTCATAGCACTTGTGCAGGGTGTGATCTGAGTAATGTCTGTGTCCACTGAGAGACTACGAGAGGCACAAAGATAGGGAACAGTGTGTCCACACTGGCCTTATGCACACCTGGCGTACTTTAAATTCTCCGTTTGGTTTGATGACTGACAGACAGCAGGCATGCGATTTTCAGGGGACTGGTCTGGTCTTTAGGGGTTAAAAGTGGAGAAGGAAACCACTCTAACAGTTGGAACACTCTAAGACCAGGCTCTAACCACTGCCTGGAAGCGGTGCCTGCCTTAGGCTCTTGCCAAATGAAACCACTCCCAGCCTCTGTGCCAATCCAGCCAAACCGGATGACTGCCCGAAGCATGCCAGGTAGACCTGTCTGCGCCTGGAGCCGCCTCAGGTCCAGCGTTATGTGATACCTGCTGCTTCATCTGTGTGCCCCCAACCACAGCTCCTCCTCTGAGACATTCCCATCCTATTGAAACGCCACCTTCTTCTTGAAGCCTTCCTAGGCTTCAAGATCAGAAACACTCTCCATCTCCCACCCCACCATTTCCGAAGGGAGCCATTACATTCTGTTCTGCACTCCGGAACCCATGTTACTATTTCCCCTCTCCGGGGCAAACAGGGAGCTGGCTGTGTCCAAATGAATCTCCAGGGCTACAGTTGTCTTCAGAGTAGCTTTCGAAACCTGTGGTGGTATTTTGGGGATACGGTCCTGGCATTCAGTGAGCAGGGATAAAGAAGGGGCAGTCCACATAGCCAATTACTGCTCTGCATCCCGCATGACTTTGACATTCATATAGGTGAAAGATTAGCTTATAATCAGCTGGACCTAGAAAGTAACTGTTTACATGTAAACACAGGGCAGTGTTTCCATGGTTCTGCTGTGAACTAACATTTCCAAGAATACGATGCCTATGTACAATGAAGGGAGATTGAAAATGGTCAAAATTGGTCTCAAAATGGCACCAAAGTTCCCATTCTGGAAAACCACACCATCTACGGCAATGGCACTAGTGGTTTTTGAGTTGTGACACAACACGACTGTGTCAGTCTGCGCCTGTGGAAATCACACTCCTAGAGGGTCCACACAGAAGGGACAGCTTCACTGCGACTTCCAGCATTGTTGTGCCCAGGAACTTACATACTGAAACTTACTTTGTTTTACTATCAATTACTTTCCTTTTTTATAGGCCTTTGTTGATTTATTTATTTTTATTTTATTTTACTATTTTTTTTCTTTGAGACGAAGTTTTGCTCTTGAAGCCCAGGCTGGAGTGCAATGGTGCAATCTCGGCTCACTGCAATCTCCGCCTCCCAGGTTCAAGACATTCTCCTGCCTCAGGCTCCCAAGCAGCTGGGATTACAGGCATGCGCCACCACGCCCAGCTAATTTTTTATATTTTTAGTAGAGACGGGGTTTCTCCACGTTGGTCAGGCTGGTCTCGAACTCCCAACCTCAGGTGATCCACCCACCTTGGCCTCCCAAAGTGCTGGGATTACAGGCGTGAGCCACCATGCCCGGTCGCATTGTTGATTTTTCAAAAATTATGTGTAGGCTGTTTTTATTAATCATATGTTTCATTTAGGGTAATAAAAGGGACTGTTACAAAATATTTGTAATAAAAAAGAGGTTCAATGCTGACTTTCCTTCACAGACCTGGCCCAGGTCCCTTGCCTCCAAGAAGTCCCTATGGCTACCCCGCCTACAAGAAGCACGTCTCAAAGTTAACTCATTTTCTTATAGGGATTCAGAAAGTCACCTGTGCACAAACACAAAGCCAAATCTCAGCTAGAAGCATCCTTGGAGATCATCTAGGCACTTAACGGGCATTTATTAAGCGCTCCTGTAGGCCTACCACTGGAGACACAGACATGAAACTGAAAAGGTCCCCACCCTTATTTTATAAGGGAAACAAAATTTAAAGGAGTAAATACTCTTTTTGAAATCTCATTTGCTCAGGAAGCAAAGTCCATATTCTGCCCCACTTTCCACAGAGAGCAGCTTAGCTGGGGGCAGCAGTCACATCAAGGTAAGCCTGGCTGGTGCATCACTGTAGCACCTGCTTCCCTCAATCTTCCTAACTGTAACTTGGGCAGCATGGTTTAGCGCTTAAGAGTGTGGGCTTTGGAGTTAGAGACTGATAATCAAATCCTGGTGTCCCTGTGACCCTAAGTTACTTGACCACTGGACTCAGTTTCTCCAACTGTAAAGTGGCATCAGGTACAGCATTAAATGCTGGCTCATGATAGAGGCTTACTCCCCTCCTGGTCCCCTTAACAGTGAAACTTCCCCAGAAGGCCTCGCACTGCCAGCCCCACTCATGCACTCCCTGACCTCACTTCAGCCCATCTCTACTGCTCCACTGAGTCACCACACCCTCCTCTCTGCTGCCCCTTCAAAGGCTTAGTCTCTATTCTTTTTTTTTTTTTTGAGATGGAGTTTCATTCTTTGCTGCCCAGGCTGGAGTGCAATGGCACGATCTCAGCTCACCACAACCTCCACCTCCCAGGTTCAAGTGATTCGCCTGCCTCAGTCTCCTGAGTAGCTGGGATGACAGGCATGCACCACCACGCCTGGCTAATTTTGTATTTTTAGTGGAGACGGGGTTTCTCCATGTTGGTCAGGCTGGTCTTGAACTCCCGACCTCAGGTGATCCACTCACCTTGGCCTCCCAAAGTGCTGCAATTACAAGCGTGAGCCACCGCGCCCACCGGCTTAGTCTCTATTCTTATCTTACACAATGAATCACTTCCTTCTCCTAGAAAAAATCTCTTAGGTGCCACGATACCACACTCTCCTGGTTTTTCTTCTGCTTTTCTGGACTCTTTCTTGGCCTTTTTTGTCAACTCAATCTATAAAAATTGGGTGCCTAAAGCTTGGAACCTGGCTTCTCTTTTCTCTTAAATCTTACCCTATATAATCTTATCCTACCCAATCCACTTGCCAATGATTTCTAAATTCTTTACATCAGCCCTGACCTTTTCTGCATCAGACTAGTATTATTTAACTGCCTATTTGGTAGCTGCACTCCAAATATCTAAAACTTAAGATGCCCTAAGAAGATTTCATAATTATTTCTCACGCTCCCAATCTATCCCAGAGTCATTTAGTAAATGCCAGCATAATACACTCGGTTACTTAAGCCAAAACCAAAAATCTATGATGAAGTCATCTTTGGCCACTTATTTCCGTCATTTCTCAAATCCTGCCCTGTCAGTTCCACCTTCAAAACACTTCTTGACCCCTCTACTTCTCTTCCTCTCCATTCCCACTACCACACACCATGCCCTAAGGCTAAGCCCAGCTCCTCAGCCTGGTCTACAAGGAAGGCCTCTGCAACCTCATTCTTCTGCCACTGGCCCCAGCACCCGCCACAGCGGCCCCCTGCCACGTGTCAAACACATCAAGCCTGCGTATTTCTTTACTTGCTGCTCTTTATGTCTTCAGCACCCTTCCGCAGACCTCCGCTGGGCTGAATACTTTCCCCAATGCCCCACCCCTCCCAATCCTCGTGGCACTTCCCACCTCTGACGTTTCCTTGTTTGCTCACGTGTTTACTGCCCGCCCCAATCCCACCGCGGGAAGCAGCCTCTCAGAGGGCAGAGCCGTGTCCGATTCCGGCCTGGGTCCCGCACCCCAGCACGTCGCACGTGCTCAAGAAATACCAGATGAGCCGGCGTCGGGCAGAAGCACGGCAAGAGAGCGCTTGGAGACCCCTGCCCTCTCCAAAGACGGCGAAACTAAGGCCCGGGGAGGGGCAGGGGCGTGGCGTGCCCCATGCCAACCCGCGCAGAGCCCGGGCGGGGAGCCCGCTTCCCGTCTCCAGCCCCGGCCCCCCAGCCCCTGGGAGTGCGCCGAGAGGCCTGCCGCGCACCCACTCACCTCGGCCTGGTGAGCTCCCGGCCGGATTCTTCCCACCGGAAGTGCGAGGCCGGATGCCACCGCCGAACCGCGACAGGGGCGGTAACTTCCGCCGGAAGCTACCCAGGGGCTGGGCGGAGCCGGGGCGAAAAGGCAGCACGGGGGCGGGGCGGGGCAGCACAGGGGCGGGGCGTCTGCTGTGGTCCGGTTCTGAGGTGGTCGGGTCCTTCCGCGGTACAGCGCAGTTTTGTCCTCCGCGGAGTCCCTCAGGCTCAGAGCACAGCAGTGTGATTGCGTCTCTCCTGCGCTCAATCAGGGGCTTGCTTTGGAACCCCGGTACCTGCTAGCGTTCTGCATACAGTGGGCATCCAAAAAATGGTCACTTGTTTACTTTTACTGAACAAATTGTTTTTCTTATGTCCAGTCTAGTGCTAGGCAACCATGGACTGAACCACGAAGATGTATCTCATGGGCTTTTTCCTCTGGGAGTTCAGGCCGGCTGGGGCCGTTACAACTTAGGCAATCCAGAAGTAATACGAAACATTTGTGAAATATTTTCTGTATGAAACTTTCTAAGAATTATCTCAACTTCAATAGGTTGAGTAGGGGGAGAGCATCCCAGATAGAGGAAATGGCAGAATCCTAAAAGAGGGTGAGAAGCCTCCAGCCGTGCCTGGGGCTCAGGTTGTTTATAACTTTGGTGGTTAAAGTAGTCAAGAGGCAGGTTGCAGTGGCCCCAAAATGCCAGCCTAGGGAGTTCATATTTTCTTCATCTTGCGGGATGGATTAAAAGGGCAGCATTTGCAGTCAAGGAGAACACTGGGCCAGGGCAAGCTAGGGTTGCACATTCAGACCCAGTTTTGTGCCTTTTGCCCTCCTCTAGCCGCCTCCTGGGCTCTCCGGCAGTAAGACCAGCTGCAAACATGGCTCCTTACAAGTGACTCAGCTGGGATCCCTGGCCTCTCTGAACAGAAGGCTCAAGGCCAGAGTGTAAGTGTTTTGTGCAAACTGCTGCTGTCACCGCCGCCAGCTGGCATCATGCAGGCATTAGTTCATTCAGTGCTCACCAAGCACCTACAATGGTACCCATCACTGCCCAAGGTCTTGGCTTTATTCAGTCCTCAAGGCTTGTATTGCATACACTTTCTATGCCTTTTGAAATAGCTTGTCCTCACACCCTTCTCTCTTAGGGGCAAGAGAAAGTATCTGTTTTCATCACCACCCTCATTCAAGTCTCCCAGCTACCAAGGCCAAGGTTTGGAGCAACAGCCTAAAACACCAGCTGGAAGGCTGGGCACTAAGCACAGGCAACACACAGGGTAAAGAGCATGTCTTCTTTGTAAGGCACAAGTACTCGAGCTGTTCCCTGGCTGTGTCCCTGGCAGGGAGAAGAGGGAGGATGTGTTCATGGGGGTGTACAGTATGCCTTACCCTGCTGTACCCAGCAGGGATGAGCAGAAAACGCTTTGTCCCAGTGCAGCAATCTGTAAACACTGTTAACCAGCAAGTGTGTGTGTGTGTGTGTGTGTGTGTGTGGGAGGAGCGAATGATAAGAAGGAAGGGACTCTTGGAAGGTGACTAAGGGCTCCAGCTGGAGCTCTCCAGAGTCTCCCAGACACACTGAGATCAAGTCTTGTCAAGGTGAAATCTTCACCATTGGGCAGGGGGCAAGTACAGACAAACAGCTGTTAACAGGAACCACAGTTTGTACATGAAAGAGTATTTATTGAAAACATGGTTACTGACAGGAAGCTCCTGGCTGCTCTCTGGTTACAATCTTGGCTCACAACTGGAAGCGTTACATACTTTTTACTTCCCCTCAATTTTATTTTTCCCCAAGGTTCCATCCTAAGATAGGCAGATCTTATATAAATATATATACATGTCTGTATAAGTATGGCCTACAGTAATGAAAATATATAGTACACTCTTCATTGGGTAGTACCTACCATGCCAGGCCACCAATACTGAATGCCAATGTGCTAACATATGTCCAGGGAGAGAGGCTGTGTGTGTGGTTTACAAGTGCTTCAGCACCAGGGAAGCCCCATTGGCACAGGTGTGGCCTCAGCTGGCCTCAGCCAGCTCCCTGAAATCATGGCCAATGGCAGAAACCATAGCGCTAAGAAGGAAAGGCAAACTTCCTGGGGTCTGGAAGGCCAAAGGAAAGCAAACTGGAGGGGGCTACAATTCAGGTTAGGTGGGAGATTTCTCTCTGAGGAAGGAAAAGGTATTAATGTGGGGGGAGAGGGGTAGAATCCAGTGACCTAACCACAGTCTAGGCCCAGGCCTCAGCTGGGTTTTCCCTGCAGTGTTCCTGGAGACTTAAGAGGGCAGGACTTGGCCTGGAGGTCTTTGACTTGCCAGGATGAGACTAAGCGCTTGTAGGGAGAAATTTCCGTCTGCTCTGATATCTGTATGGGCCAGAGAGATCTGGTGACTCTAAAGACCAGAGATGTTAGAGCCAACCTCAGAAGCAGCAACATCTTGGCACCATATGAAGCTGGAGTGAGCCCTCATCAAAAAAGACAAAAGCAAAGGCCCCAGGCCTGTACTCAGATCTGAGATACAGGCAGTCACTCCAAGGCTCTCAACACGCCCAGCATACCTGTCCTCTGCAGGCAGCCTTTCTTGGGCCAGCTCTTGCTTATGTGGGGATCCAGCTGATCAGAGAGCAGGTTCAGGAGGAAAAGGTGAGTGGCTGTTGTTAAATCCATTTCAAGAAGCAATTTCTTGGACTGGAAGGCAAGGGCATCTGCTGTTTGTTCCTCGTGGCCCAATCCCAGGCTTCATGGTGATGGAGTGGGCAGAGCACCCTGCCTTGATGACTCTTAGTAGACAGGGACCAAGAGGAAACTCTGGGTGGTCCGAGGTGGGTTTGAGAAATGGCTGGCATTTACTGGCCACCAAAATCACTACAGATTCTGTACAAGCAAAAGACAAGGCACCAGACTTTAAGCGTTTCTCCTGGGCCCAAAATCCCTTCTCCTGGGTACCGTCGTTTCTGGCTCCAGGTTCAGCCATAGTGATAAACAAAGTCATAGCTGCTGGGCTCCTTGGGGATGGGGGGTGGGGCTTCAGGAATCTGGATGTTCTCCAGGTCCAGGAGCCGCAGCTTCATCTCCATACTCAGCAGGGTGTCCAGGTCACTCTTGGTCAGCTCGCTGGACATGTCCTTCCCCAGAAGGGCACTGAGGCCATCAATCCAGATGCAGTACTGTGGGGAGCAAGTTGCAAAATGTCACGTCGTGACCCCCGGTCAGCAGGAGATCCTGCCAAGGTCTCTATTCTGATGGGGCTCACAACAGTTCCTTTTGGAACTAATCAGTATAGGCAAAACTGATTTGGAATGATAGCAAAGATAAATTGGGAGGTGATCCTTCACTTTCTCAAGATATCTGGTTTTTATAAGGGGTTTTATATTACAACTCCTTACAATAATATGAAATAGAACCTAAAAATGCAATGAATGAATATAGCAAAATGAGATCTGAGTACTGGGGCATCATCTACCTGAAGTTACCCCAAAATCAGAAGCGAGAGAAGAGAAATATGTATTAGGTGAAAAGAAGCAAGACACAAACAGGAGTCATTGCAGGATCTCAATTTTGTTTCCCCTGCCACCAAAAAAAAAGTAAATTAAAATCAATCAAATCAATACATATTAAAGAGTAAATACTAAAGAAATGGAACTGGTGGGTCTCATGCTAAGAGCGGGTAACCAGGAAGCCTTCTGATGCCACTGCTCCCTAACTCTTTCTGCTTCCTCTGCTGCCATTTTCCTTTTTCCACACCGTTGCTTGCCTGGTTCCCCACTTGCTTGTTCTTCATTTCCTCCCAATAAAATTCCACTAGCAGCAGCTCAGGCCCTGCCCAAGTGTCTCCTCTTTCAGAAGCCCTACTTCTAGTTCCCAGTGATGGCTCTCAGAGCTCACCAGGCACTAGGGTCTCAAATGCAATCACTCATTTAATATCTAGTATCTTCCAGTGCTGCAGATGGAACTACAGGGCCCTTGTCAGAAGGACCAGTTCCATCTGGCTTCAAAGTCCACACTGGATCCACTACAACATGTGACCAGGAGCCCCTAGGAGGAAAGATCTGTCAAGTTCTCTTGGGTAGTTGACCACAGAGAAACTGAAAAGGGGAGAATTTTCCTAGTCCCAAGTAAATGAGTCATTCCTAGTTGACCTTGTCTGTGTAATGACAACCTACGACTGCTGCTGAAGAGTAATGTGGAGAGTCCAGCTCACGGATAAACAATCCAGAGTGTGACAGATCCTTGGCATTCTACAGCCTTCATGATACACTGCAGCCACCCACCGCAGGGGACGTTCCTGATCTGTTCATTCCTGGCACCAACAAAAGAGTTACAGAAATGGCTCTGTTGTCCAAGGCAGCACCACACTGCTCACCTCATATTTATTAGGTGCAATGAAGTTTAAGGTCTCATCAGGGTCATACAGGATGGAGAAGGCCAATTCCAACACCTCCTGAAGGAGAAACGGTTTAAATTAGAGCAATGGAACAGCCTGGGGTCTGCACATCAAAATCTTGGCCAAAGTCCTAGTGACTCGGCATCATCACCAAACATGCTGATTCAAATGAATGTCATCAATGCTCCTAGGCAGCCACAAGTGTGGCTGGAGATTAGGCCCAGCATAAATCAACCTTAACTTACCCACTCCCTGCCCAAGTCACATCAAAGATGTTGTGATATTTTTATGATTGGAAAAAAGTCATTTTTAACACTCAGAACCCTGGAAAGTCACAATCCATGACTGTAAGTTATCCTAAAAGTTTTTAATTACCAAGATGACTAACAACTTCTATCATGATGTATTTGGCATAGGAATATCTTAACAATTAAAAAACAAAACAATCCCAGCACTTTGGGAGGCTGAGACGGGCGGATCACGAGGTCAGGAGATCGAGACCATCCTGGCTAACACAGTGAAACCCTGTCTCTACTAAAAAATACAAAAAACTAGCCGGGTGAGGTGGCAGGCGCCTGTAGTCCCAGCTACTCGGGAGGCTGGGCAGGAGAATGGCGTAAACCCGGGAGGCGGAGCTTGCAGTGAGCTGAGATCCGGCCACTGCACTGCAGCCTGGGCAAGAGAGCCAGACTCTGCC